TATTATTAAATTCTACACTTACTCCCTGTTGATTTAACACGTAGCAAATAGAATAACAGATAACAGATAGAAGAATAGTGAAAGATTAATTAATAGAGAATTATATTTTGTTTTCAATAAATTATGTATTGTTAAATTCTACACTTACAAACTGTTGATTTAACATGTAGCAAAGAGAATAACAGATAGAAGGATAGAGAAAGATTAATTAATAGAGAATTATATATTGTTATCAATAAATTATGTATTATTAAATTCTACACTTACTGTCTATTAGTTTAATATGTAGATAAAAGATTAATTAACTAATTAATAGAGAATTATAGTTATCAATAAATTATGTATTACTAAATTTTACACTTACGCCCTGTTAATTTAACACATAGCAAAGAGAATAACAATGAACAGATAGAAGAATAGAGAAAGATTAATTAATTAATAGAGAATTATATTTTGTTGCTATAATAATAAATTATGTATTATTAAATGCTACACTTACAAACTGTTGATTTAACACATAGCAAATAAAATAACAGATAACAGATAGAAGAAGAGAAAGATTAATTAATAACGAATTATATTTTGTTGTCAATAAATTATGTATTATTAAATTCTACACTTACAAACTATTAATTTAACACATAGCAAAAAGAATAACAGAAAACAGATAAAAGAATAGAGAAAGATTAATTAATTAATAGATAATTATATTTTGTTGTCAATAAATTATGTATTATTAAATTCTACACTTACAAACTGTTGATTAACACATAGCAAATAAAATAACAGATAACAGATAGAAGAAGAGAAAGATTAATTAATAAAGAATTATATTTTGTTGTCAATAAATTATGTATTGTTAAATTCTACACTTACTCTCTGTTGATTTAACACGTAGCAAATAGAATAACAGATAACAGATAGAAGAATAGAGAAAGGTTAATTAATTAATAGAGAATTATGTTTTATCAATAAATTATGTATTAATAAATTCTACACTTACTTCCTGTTGATTTAACATGTAGCAAAAAGAATAACAGATAACAGATAAAAGAATAGAGAATTATATTTTGTTGTCAATAAATTATGTATTATTAAATTCTACACTTACAATCTGTTGATTTAACACGTAACAAATAGAATAGCAAATAACAGATAGAAGAATAAAGAAAGATGAATTAATTAATAAAGAATTATATTTTGTTGTCAATAAATTATATATTATTAAATTCTACACTTACCGTCTATTAGTTTAATATGTAGATAAAAAATAACAAATAGAAAATATAGAAAGATTGATAAATTAATAGAGTTATATTTTGTTGTCAATAAATTATGTGTTATTAAATTCTACACTTACGCCCTGTTTATTTAACACGTAGCAAAAAGAATAGCAGATAACAGATAAAAGAATAGAGGAAGATTAATTAATTAATGGAGAATTCTATTTTGTTGTCAATAAATTATGTATTATTAAATTTTACACTTACTCCCTGTTGATTTGACACGTAACAAAGAGAATAACAAATAGCAGATAGAATAATAGAGAATTATTAATTAATTGATAGAGAATTATATTTTGTTATCAATAAATTATGCATTATTAAATTCTATACTTACCGTCTATTAGTTTAATATGTTGATAAAAAATAACAGATAGAAGAATAGAGAAAGATGAATCAATTGAGAATTATATTTTGTTGTCAATAAATTATGTATTATTAAATTCTACACTTACGCCCTGTTGATTTAACACATAGCAAAGAGAATAACAGATAACAAATAGAAGAATAGAAAAAGATTAATTGATTAATAGAGAATTATATTTTGTTGTCAATGAATTATGTATTATTAAATTCTACACTTACAAACTGTTGATTTAACACGTAGCAAAGATAACAGATAGAATAATAAAGAAAGATCAATTAATTAATAGAGAAATATTTTGTTGTCAATAAATTATGTATTATTAAATTCTACACTTACTCCCTGTTGATTTAACATGTAGCAAAGAGAATAACAGATAGAATAATAGAGAAAGATTAATTAATTAATAGAGAATTATATTTTGTTATTAATAAATTATGTATTATTAAATTCTACACTTACATACTTGATTTAACACGTAGCAAAGAGAATAACAGATAGAAGAATAGAGAAGGATTAATTAATTAATTGAGAATTCTATTTTATGTATTATTAAATTCTACACTCACTTCCTGTTAATTTAACACGTAGCAAAAAGAATAACAGATAGAAGAAGTGAAAGATTTATTAATTAATTAATAGAGAATTCTATTTTGTTGTCAATAGATTATGTATTAAATTCTACACTTACTTCCTGTTGATTTAACACGTAGCAAGGAGAATAACAGATAGAAGAATAGAGAAAGATTAATTAATTAATAAATAATTATATTTTGTCAATAAATTATGTATTATTAAATCCTACACTTACCAACTGTTGATTTAACACGTAGCAAATAGAATAACAGATAACAGATAGAAGAATAGAGAAAGATGGATTAATTAATGGATAATTATATTTTGTTGTCAATAAATTATGTATTATTAAATTCTACACTTACTCCCTGTTGATTTAACACGTAGCAAATAGAATAACAGATAACAGATAGAAGAATATAGAAAGATTAATTAATTAATAGAGAATTATATTTTGTTGTCAATAAATTATGTATTATTAAATTCTACACTTACAAACTGTTGATTTAACACGTAGCAAATAGAATAACAGATAACAGATAGAAGAATAGAGAAAGATTAATTAATTAATAGAGAATTATATTGGTCATTTTTGTAGATAAGTTCTACAACAATTATTACCGCCTATCAACTTCATTACTGGCTTGTGATGCCCATTTATTATCTTTGTTTATTTCTAATAATTTTTTTAGGTCCGCCTTTGATTCCTCATATTTACTCAATATAAGATAAGTTTCTCCGCGATATCTAAATGCGCATGCATTGTTTGGCTCAATATTTAATATTTTTTCTAAATCTGCAAGCACCTTTTCATATTTTCCCATAATAAAATAAGCCTTTGCACTATATCTTAATGTAACCGTATTTTGGTTAATTCCTAATGACGTTATAAAATCTTCAATCATGTCTTTATCTTCGTTATCGCATTGTTTAAGAGCTTTAATCCATTTTTCTTTCAAATGATCATCATCAATATCATCATCAGTTATTGCTATTCGTGAAAGTAACATTAAAATAAATTTCAAAAAAAAATTAGACATGTAATAAATAAATATTCAGCGCTTGATAAAAAATATTTATTATACCCGTATATTTAAACTTTTTATTTCCAAAATTCGCCTCTATAGATATAGGTCCGCGTTTTGACCTTATCCCAATGCAAGGATAATAAGGATCTTTCTCTAAATCTTTTTTTAAGTCTCGAAATGCAATTCCTTAAAAAATGGTGTAAAATATTAACTTTTATCACTCAAACAAATTTAGACATTAAATAATAATGATTACCTAGATTCACACCATTTTTAATATATAATACAGTGTTATTTCTAAAATTTAAATAGCATCCAATAGTATCACCGGCTTTAAATGTAGGCCCATATGGCTCTTCGGTCTCTGAACAATCAAAAAAATTTCCATCATCACTATGATATCCCCACGAGTTCTTACCACACCCTATAAATGTTTAGTAAATAACATTATTATCGAATAAATATATTTTTATGGCTGATAAAAATTAAATCCCACAATTACCCGGTAACTTATTTAGTTCAGCTGATTTTGTGCAAAATCCGATTGCAATAATTCTTTAAAAAGATTTAAAAATTATAAGAAAGCGAAACTTATTTAAAGTTAACAGATGTTTTGCATTTTACCCATTTTTATTATTTATAATTTCAATTTCAAAGTAAAACAATTTGCATTGTAACGGAATTGGATTAGTGGTACAAATTACAGCATCTTCATTATTTTTATCACGACCTTAAATTGAAAAAAAACTTAGCAATGTAACAAGATGATAAGTTATATAGCCTAAATATATTTTTATTATTTTTATACAAAATATCTTGCTAACTATGGAATGTCATGCTTTTTATGTCCATAAAGATACATATATAGTAAAATGTTTGTTCTCACCTGTATAATTTACTCTAAGTCCATTTGAATCCACATCTAAAAGAGCGGATTTATCATTAACATTCCATGTAATTGGAGTCATATGGATTATTAAATCGGCTCTGTGATCCTATTTAACGTTTGTTCTATATAATGCTTCAAAGCATTGTAATTTTTAGTACAAAGGGGCAAAAATTATATTATAACAAGCGTTAGAATTTTGATGCTTCATTTCTTAGTTCTGTAGTTCCGTTACTACTATATTTATTAACACAATAACGATAATTTCTCTCTTGCGTAGTTGTAAATGCACCAGTGTGTCAACACTAGTTATAATGCTAACGGCTGCTTTACCTGAGATTTAATATGAATTTAAACCAATCTTTTATTATTATAACATGGATTATATATGTAATCCCTTCTAGGATTGCCAAACGTTCTGTCTGTCGAGTTTAATTAAACTCAGGCTAAAATGCCAGATAAAAACTAGATATACTGTATTGTTGTATGCAGTGGCGTACGAAAGTAGTTTTTCATATAACCATAAGTAGCTGCGCAACTGCGTTGCGCAAAACCTGGAACGGGGAAATCTATGCAGACATCATTTCAATCACTGGTAAACCATGTTCTTCACTGCAATTCGTTCCTGTATAAGAAATGATTCTTTATAAAAGAAGTCGATAGTACTTGCAATCTGAATATTGGTTTGAATTTCAGTGACAGTCTAAAATTCTGGGGAGTGCCCTGCAAAAAACATTAAAAAACTTAGCGCCCACTACGTATTTAGAAATGATTTCGATTAAATCTTTGACGATCAGTGATTATCATTTTATCAGCCCGATAAAAAATTCGATGAAAAAAAAAATGCATTGAGGCCTTTAAACTTATATCGGGTCTCTAATTTTTGTGCCTAAAAAAATTTATTTTTGTTATTGCATCTTTGATTTTACAGATGTATGCGCTCATTTATAAGTTTCTTTTTTTATGAAGTAAATTTGGATAATAAACAAGAATTTTGTACCTCATACGATATATGAAAAAAATAATGAAAAATAAAATATCGATATTGAATGATGAATAAGTCACGCGGACCAATCAACTCCAAGATTTTGCATTCGTTCCTACCTTTTAAAGTATTGTTCGGGGTGCCAGTGATGTAAATTGGGTTCGCGCAGTAAGCGCAGCGTACATAGATTTAAATTTGCGCGTATATCAGCGCTCTCCGTATATATAGCGCGCGTATAAAATTATTTTTTTGTTCACATTTTTTTGCGTTTGCGCGAATAAAAATTTTTTGAATTTATAACACTGCGGGGTGCTACACAAAGTCACAAGGATGGATCACCCAATCATATGCCGAGAATCGCACACACCATTTCACTCGCCTGTAAACCATACCCTAAGTACTTCGTACTCCGTTCCTGGTATACTAGGAGTGGAGTGTATGATAATATCTCATAAATGCAATTAAACTTTACGATGTTGGTTACTTTGTTACTGGTTAGATCTTGTCGTTTAAAGTGATTGTTACGATTGGTATTCTGTACAGTGTAGAAGTGCAATGTGCGTCTGAAAATCCGGAGGGTAGGTATATAGTATCTTACTAATAACTATTCTATTATCTTACTATTCTAACTAGAACACTATATTTATAGTCGCTAAACCCTTAGTAATGGTAAGGCTACGATAGAGGCGTGAAAAAGACTTGGTCCGAATAATAAGGGCTATTTGGCTAATAGCGATAGTGTTGGGCTTCAGATAAGTATACTTTGTTCTTTGTTTAGGTCGGTTAGTCAAGTGCTTATTGACTTTGCTAATATCTATTCTCTTTCGTAGGATTACTGCGGCTGTAAATTTGGCTCTGATGTCACGTGATCACAGGGTTCGATCCAGATTAATTACGGGGTATCGATTTTAACAGTAATGAGGTAATCACAGAGTTAATCAGTTTTGTATTCAATATTTAAGAACTCAGCTTACTAATCAGTATTTTTTTTCTCTTCTATTTTTCTTAATATGAAAATGAGGAGTATGATGGTTATGGGAACAAGACAAGTAACAAAATATGAACTCAGTCAGTGTTAAAAGGAAATTGTGTAAGAATCAAACACTTAAATTCAAAACTTGGAAGGTATTTTTGGAACTTTGAGAGTTAATCTTTATTAAAGGTAAGTTTCACTACTTATATATATGAGTTTTACAGACTAAAAATTGATACTTATTTCTTGCATTTTATTTTTTGTTCTATTTTACTGATTTTGTCAATTTTACTGTTTTTTATAATTTTATTAATTCTTCTTTTTTTCTTGAAAATGAATAAAAATGAATACTGTATTACAACAGTTTGTAACACACTACAAAAAGGAACTTCAACTGCTACAACAGTTATAAGGATTTACATTTTGCCTTGTTGTTTATAAGAATGTCTATTTTGCCTTAGACAAATCTGTAAATATTAGCATATATAATTGAAAATAAATAATTTTGATAATGAGATGGAAATGGATAGACACAAGTGACAATAACAAGATGAAAAAATTTAGTAATTGTACAAATAAATATCTAAAAATATTAAACTTAAAAGAATATAAGAGTTTAACAAAATAAAAAATAATGAAAGAATATTATTTTTATGTTTTATAAAAGATAGTACAAAAGTTTTTATGAATATAGTAATTGAATATAATATTTGTAAATGGATTAAAAAATATGCTAAGTATTTTTTAAAAAATTGTATTTTAGAATAATCTACAGTAACTTTTATTTGTTTTGCATCACTTAAATTTTTTTTTTAAAATTTATATATCTCTTAAAAGTTAAATTATTTTGGAATAAATATTTTTATTTAATTTATTAATATCAAGTATAATTAATGCTAAAGTTGTGATGCAATTGAATCACATGATCATGCTCTATGTTATGATTTGTCTGTTATTTCTGATGCATAACTTTTAATTGTTTTAATTAAAAATTAAATAGTAATTTAAATTTTGAATAAAAATATAATCAAAGAAGATCCAAAAAATTTTACTTTAAGGATATAAAGAATATTCTCTAAGCTTTTGGGATTTAAAAATGTCTTTGAATTTAAAATTTGATTAAATTCTTATCAAAAGATGCATATTTGAGACAAATAAAAATTTGCTGATCTAATCTTTAATAGTAAATTACTATTAAAGATTAGATCAGTAAATTTTTATTTGTCTAAAATATATGATTTTTTGATGAGAATTCAGTCAAATTTTAAGTTCAAAAACATTTTTAAATCCTAAAAGCTTAAAGAATATTCCTATGCCTTTAAAGTAAAATTTTTTAGATCACTTTTGATTATATTTTCATTCAAAGTTTAAATTACTATTTAATTTTTAATTAGAATGATCAAAAGTTATGCATCAGAGATAACAGACAAATTATAATATAGAGTATGATTATGTGATTTAATTGTATCACAACTTTAGTATTAATTACACTTGGTATTGATAAATTAAATAAAAAAATTTATTCCAAAATAATTTAATTTTCAAGAGATATATGAATTTAAAAAAAAATTTTCAGATGATATAAAACAAATAGAAGTCACTATATCATTATACAATAGTAAATGAAATTAGACTAGGTTATCTGTTGGATATAATTATATAGGTAGCATCTAATTTTAAGATAATTGCATTTATTTGTAATATTACACAAAACAGATCATCAAAATAAACAACTTCAATCTTAATTCTAAAATGAGTTGACTCTTAATTTTGAATCTAATTTTAATCTTCATTAAACTAATAAAATTTTTTCTCTAAATACATTACTCATACAAATTTATATTTAAACTATTTCTCAAATTTATGCTTGCATATATTTTTTTCTTATAGTTTTTTAAGCACATATTGCCAAGAGTTGTTATAAACAGATGTATTTATGGTGGTTTCTGTGTATTTACTACATATTCTAACTTTTTGTACATATTGTACTATATAATATATATGTCTAATAAGCAAAAAATTTAAGACATAAAATTTATCTGATTAGCTATTTTTGTAAGAACAAGTTTTGTTAAACAAAAGAATCACATTCAGTATTTAAAATTCACTATTTATAGTATCTCTAGAATTTGAGTATTATTCAACCTGTTTCTTGAATAAGATCTAAGTATATTTATATTGATTATTGCTTTTAATATCAGATATATCTTATGGGTACTATCTAATATTAAAAATAGAATTTATAAATAAAACCTATATACTATAAGCAATAACATGTAGTATATATAGTATATAAATTGAAATTTTATTTTATAAACAAAATTTTCTTAGAATTTACAAATTTTATTTTGTTATACATGTTATACATCTTTTTTTTTTTATTTGAAAAAATTTAAATTACATTATTTCAAATAAAAATGAGCATGTTGACAAAAATCAACAGATCAAAAAGACAAAGAATGGTCAAGGTTATATGCTATGTACTACAACCTTGCTTTGAAAACTTAAGTCTAAGATTAAAAGAGATATCATATTTCAGGAATTTTATATAAATAAAATAATATAACTAAAAGTTACTGATTATAATTAGTATTTAAAAAAGTAACAAATAATTTATTTGTACTACTACTCAACACAACCAAGCATTATAACTAATTTTTTTTTTAACATAACTCTTTCTATCACATACTGTAGTCTCCTGATTTTATTATTTTCTATTTAAAAACCAGTCTGTTTTAAGCAGATAGAAAACTATTAGCTGATACACATTCTATGTTATAGTAATTTCTAGTACAATTTTACTTACTAATTTTTTCAGAAGCATATTTAGTTCAAATTATTTACAATATATTCTGCAAACTTAAAGTTCTTTAATTAAATACTTTTAACTTTCTGGCATTATTCCAATAGCATAACTATGCTTTTTAAGACATTTGAATTCTATTTAAAATACTATAACTTTCCAAAAATAAGTTCATTTTTTTGCTCTAAGCTTATTATTATAAAATAGAAATGCTTATTTTTGGAAACCTAAAGTAATGGCTATCAAGCTTTTTTATATATTAAAATACATTATTTTTATATTTATAATAGAATGCAAAGTTAAGTGCTAAAGACTATTATT